TCTGTTTTTTTTTCCTTTTCCCAGGTGGATCTTCTTGTCTGTGAGACTGCCTTTTTTAAATTCGATGTTTAATTTTTTTAGTTGCTGCTATTGCTGATGTATATATTGCTTTGTTGAGATTTATATGTAGGGCTACTTTATCTAAAATTAAATTGAGTGCTTAATTTTAGAGTTTAATGATTTTAAGGTTCTGCATTGTTGGTTGTAATTTTGGTAGTTCTTCCCATTCCTCTATTTCAATATTTTGTGTCTTATGTGTGTCTCATTGCTTTCTTATTTGGCTTTTTGTATATGATTCTTGTTTTCCGTAAAATTATTCGGTTCAATGTGTTTTGGACTCGTTTTATTGCAGACTTGTGACCCATTAAGATGACGCCTTTCCAAATCCTGTAAACGTTCAGCACAGTGATTGGTGTGTATCTCAGTTTCTTCATTATGACCTGTGATTTGTGTGTTGTAAGTAGTGTTTATGTCCATTTCTGTTTCCCTTTCATGTACTGGGGACCCACTTATTCTGATTGCAGTTCTTTTTACTTCTTTAATCTCAGTATCTGTCAATCGGCTATTATTATTATTATTATTATTATTATTATTATTATTATTATTATTATTTCCTTTGATTTCTGTTGTATACACATTTTCTTCTTTGTTCCAACCAAGGACTTATGGTTAGAAATGGCTTCATGATATTATCCGCTGATCAACTTTGTAAAACATAATAAATAAAAAAGTCACACACATTTTACACAGATAAACCTCTTCGTAATATGTGAGCTGTACCTGTGAGTACAATCTGTTTTATTTCTTTAAGTCATGTGTTACAAGGAATCCCTTCAATGAGTGTATCGGGACATTTTCCAATCAATCCAAGTGCTCCAGCTATAACTGGAATTATTGATGACCTCATGTGCCACATTTTTGAGATTTTCAGTTCAAGATCCTTTTTAAATATCTTCAGGGATATATTACAATCTACAGGGACTGCCATGTCAATGCTAGCGTAAATTCTATTTTTGTGATCTCTGATGACGATGTCAGTGCGATTAGCTTTGATTGCACTCTCTATGTGTATTGTATTGAATTATTATTATTATTATTATTATTATTATTATTATTATTATTATTATTATATTCGATTTTGGCTATAGTCATATTACCTATTAAGTCTGCACGAATACCAAAGACAAGTAGTGGTGTGTTTTTATTTCTAACTCTCATAATATTACTAGCGTTACATGGAAAAAGTTCTTCTTAATGTGTGGACTGTAATTATTAAGACGAGATTTCCAGGATTTTTAAAATGTGTTGTGTTCCTTTTTTATCATTCTAAGCGCATCTACTATAACTGGTACTATTTTTGTTTCCAGTTTTACATTTTTTTTCTATTTTAATTTACAGGTGATTATGCTTCGTAATTATTATTATGTACTTTGATTTCTGTTATATACCCATTTGTACTTGCATAGAACAGAATAATAATAATAATAATAATAATAATAATAATAATAATAATAATAATAATAATAATAATAATAATAAAAAAAGTTGTCAAAATACAAGGACCTTGAAATAGAAATCTCGAAAATGTGGCATATGGGAACATCAACAATCCCTGTTGTAGTTGGAGCCCTAGGACTGGTTGGAAAAGATTGCAGTAGACTAATTGAAGGGATTCCTGGAAGTCCATGCCTCAAGGAGATACAAAAAATTGTTCTGACAAGTACAGCCCACACCTTACGAAGGGCTTTATTTATGTAATTTTTTTTTTTTTTTTTTGTCAGTGAGTGTCATTTCTAACCTTAGGTTCCTAGGCGGGACCCGGAAAGAAATGTGTAAACGCCAGAAATCAAAGAAAATAATAATAATAATAATAATAATAATAATAATAATAATAATAATAATAATAATAACACGGTTGTCTTACGTTATATAGTATATGTTTGTTATTAAATTAATTGGATAAAACAGCAAATATATGTGAGTAAAAGAAATTTAGTATTACCTGACGCAAGTTACGACATAATTTTTAAAGTAATTGATAATCATAAAGAATGAAACAAGAAACGAAACAATCATGAGCCTAACCACTTACCCTTTGGCTAAACTAGCGAATTTTTCTTAATGCAAAAGTATGTATGCCGAATAAGGAGCCAAAATAATGGTTTGCTTAAATCAATGAAACAGAGATTTTTTTGTTTGTTTTTAACTTCATAACATACCTAAAAATAATGGCTTTTCAAGAAATGTATGCGCTGCAGCACGTATGAAAATTACTATACAGGAAATCCATATAAGGTTTCATTTTAATGTGGGTTAAATTTACCGCGCCAGTAATCTGGGATTGTTTTATAATAATAATATTATTGCTCCAGTTTCCTACTTTTTGTCCGACCGAACTAAGTTTAATTTAATATAATAAAGTATATCAAAATCAATGGATAACTTGATGATAAGAACAGTCAAACGAATACGATTTGAGCAAATGAAGCAAAGGCGAGCTCTCATCGCTCATAACAAATTGGTCTGTAGGGATTTTTAAACTTATAAAATTCTATAGAAAATTAATTTTGAAAACCAAGTAATTATGTGCATTCGGTTTGCACATATTCCGTTATTACATATTACTCAAGATGTCCAGAATTTATATTTTCTTTATATTAACAATACTCTCCTCATTATTATTATTATTATTATTATTATCATTCGATTTCTGCTATGGACACACTACCTACCAAGTCTGCGGAAAGACCTAAGGCAGGTCGTGGTGTTTGTTATGGCCACATTTCATGTTAATTTTTTTTTTTTTTTTTTTTTTTATCTCCGATGAAGTTGCTAGCGTTACATAGACAAAGTTCTCCTTAGTGTGTGTGCTGTACTTAATAAGACAATTTTCTGTATGTCTCTTAAGCTGGGGTTTCCAGGGATTCTTTCAATGTGTTGTTTTGTTCCATTTTTTATAATTCCAAGTGCACCTATTACCACTGGTATTATTCTTGTTTTCAATTTATTATTATTATTATTATTATTATTATTATTATTATTATTATTATTCAATTTCTGCTTTGGTCACACTATCTACCAGGTCTTCGGGAAGACCTAAGGCAGGTAGTGGTAGTTGTGTGTTGTTATGGCTACATTTCATTTGTTACTCTAACTCCTATAACATCACTAGCATGGAAAAAGTTCTTACTGTGTTGGCTGTTCTTATCAAGACAATTTTTTTTATTTTTCTTAAGCTGGGATTTTCAGAGAGTTTTCAAATGTTTTGTTGCGGTTCCTTTTTTATTATTCCAAGCGCACCTACTATTTCTGCTGCATACTTATTTCCTTCTATGTCACAACCAGGGACCTAAGGTCATAAATTTTCACTGGACATTTTATTAATCTAATATCACACATAATTTACATTGATAAAGCCCTTCGTAAGGTATGAGCCATATTTGTGAAAAGAATTTCTCGTATTTTCTTAGGCATGAGATACCAGGAATCCCTTCCGGGAGTTTATCTGTAATTTTTCAATAAAAAAGATGGCTCCATCCACAATGGTCCTTGTATGTTGATAGTTGCTTTAAAATCTTAAAAGATACATTAGAGTCAGCAGAAACTGCCCTGCCAATAAGAAAGCACGTGCTGTTTTGTAATATTGATCTCTGTACCTGGACTGTTAGTTTTGATTATTATTATCATTATTATTATTACTATTATTATTATTATTATTATTATTTGATTTAATATACCTATAGAAATTGAGAGCTTTCAAACGTAGTGAAATGACTCCATGTTTCCTCAGCATTTAATAATTTTCAACAATATTCTTCTTCATTTTAATAATGTCTGGATTGTTTCAATTCATTTTCCGATTCCTAATTTCTTCACGAGCTTGCCAAGGCCTTCCGAATATTGCTTTCTTTGTACAAGTCATAGAAGAGAAATTATACATATATAATATAAATTATTATACAAATTATAATATAAATAAATGTAATTCAATTTCCATTATAGAGAATGTAGATTGACTTTATATTTTACATCTCTACATATTTTCCCATATACTTCCCATTTTCAGAAATAGGATGAGAACGAAAATTATTTCGGTTACTTAGTGTGGAAAAATGCTGATGACGAAAGCTGAGTGGAAAATTTGGAGGCGTCTGACCGGAACCTGTTGAAATTTGCCATTCAGTCAAGCGCAGTTGTAGGTCAAACTCTTCCAGCCCAAATAGGAAATTATCTTTGAATCAGTGCCATGACGTCATTATATTCCACATTTCTCAATAGGGAGACTGTCTTGAATGTTTTGTATGTAAATACAACAGGCACACCCTTCTGTGAAGAGTAAATAAACTTTCGACAAGGAATCCTTATCTTAACAGTGAACTAATTCTTGAAATGTTACACTCTTTGTCCTCCATTCCTCAGGAATAAAGGTAGCAAATCTAAACGTGATCGTTTATGCTACACTTTCTAGTAAAAGGTTATATGTGATAGGTTTAGGATAATATTTATCGTCATTAGTTTACCTAAGAAAATTAATGATTAAAAATATAAGAAAATAGTATAAAAAGGCACTGATAACCAAACTTCTAAATTCTGTGTCAGTGACATAGAATTTAGAAATTCCCAAAATACGTGAGTGATTTTCTTTTGGGCGGTAAAGGAGTGGATATAGACGAAGCACTCAAAAATGATAGATATCCAAACCTTGGTGTTGATGTGACTATATAGAAATTTTATTGATTGATTCATTCGTTTTGTACGGATTAACAACCTTTTTCAGGTTATTTAACGCCATAAAATATTTCCAGATTGTTAGAATTTTTTTTAGATAAAAGTTCAATGATGCAAATCCTACTAATTAACACATACCTGGTTGGAGAAGAGAGGGATTTATACATTTCCCAAGAATATTTGCGTGTAAGTGAATATAACGAACCCAACGGAAATTGGAACTCAATCTCCGATAAAAAAAAAAATTCCGAGCCATTATCCATTACACCACCCACACATGATATTTCCAAGCGGTCACCCATCTTGGTACTGACCAGGTTTAATGTTGCGTAACTTCGATGATCGTATGTGAACTGGTGTTTCAATACGATGTGGCCGTAAGAAAGCATTTAGAGAGTAGGTATTAGAAATCGATTTTATTGTATTGATCACAGATTTTACTAAAAAAACATCTAAGAAATAGTAAAATCGATTTTTAATGTGGCCATCAGAAGTAGATTCATATAAGTTTCTTTTTTACTTAAATCTTTATTTTTTGCATATTTATTTCAAACATCTTCTCATAAACGGTGAATGTACTCAGTGAATACTCAGTAAAATAATAAGAAATGTATTTTAATTATTATTTTATTCATACATTTTGAGAAATAAATCTGCAATATAATAAAATCGATTTCTAATAATGCATGCTAAAAAGAGGTTAAGAAATAAATCGTGATGATTTAAAACTTAAAATAACCACTTTTTATATCATTCGAACTGTTATCTTCATCTTCATTTTCATATTCACAACGTTTCGGCCGTTTTACGATCCTGCCTTCTTCAGGTGATTGGAATTTAGAACCTAATCCTTTATTTCATCCCCCGAGGTAGATTGTTCTTGTTCCACGTGAAATGTCTCTTCCGGATGTCTCTGTTATTTCCTTTGAACACTATTCTTCAATTTTTCGTTAACTGGTGCTGTAGCCTGGTATTGAACTCACTGCTCTTTGGGTCTAGTCACTGGATCTAACCATTTTTTTTTTCTTTTCAGTTGGGCCATGTGTCCTCAAGTGTAACTGTTTTCTGAAGACATGCGACATTTGTACAAAGTTATACGACTCTTTTGGAGATTTTATATTTTAATGCTTGTATACAATTTGTAAACATAACTTGAAACGGGAAATGTAACTTGGCTCTCCGATTAACAATTTAAAGCCAGTATCCATTACACCGCCCGAACACCTAATACAGCACGTTATTCCCATCTAGGTACTGACCATGTTCGACGTTGCTTAACTACGCGGATCGTACGAAAAGCCGCTGTTTCAAGATGATGTGGCCATAGGACTCGGATTACTTTGTCGCATTTTTCGCCCTCTGTTAAAACACTTCGTGATAGCCAAACTTATATAGGCTTGAAAAGGCTAAAAATTATACACCATTTATGGTTAGTAGCGAATTGGATATCAGAATATTAAAATGCAGTAGGTTATCCTTTATATCATTAGACAGTCATCTTTGAAATGTTATTTTTTTAAATGAGTCATGGTTATATGTTATCATTCTTCAACACCAAACGATTTGTTTGATATTTGCATTTTCTTAAGTATCTCCTCATTCCTCTATTTACTTAAATGACAAACAGAACAAGGAAAATTGTCCACATACTTGTGTAGCATAAATAAAAATATTCTTTGAATGATAAAGTTACAACAATTAATTACTTGTAATTTATCACCATATTTTATCATTTCGTGGGTTATTTCTGAAAACTGAAAACGTGCCAACAACTCAGACTGTTACAACCTAGGCATGACTTGCAACGTCGACAGAGTTGAATCCCTCACCTTTCCTATTTAGTACTTTGGTAAGAAGGGCGTTCCACTTCGAAATTTTCTTCACGGGAATCGCTAGATTTTGGAATAGACTCCTGCGTGGATATTTCCTTGTAGACCGCATACTTAACCACTTCAAATTTAAAGTCGATCGTTATGTATCCATCATACCCTAGTAATCTTCACCTCTAACTTCCTCCTCCTCCTCCTGCATTAATATCACACACTTGATTAAGTAGTCCAGCTGTGTATTAATTATTATTATATAAATGTATAAATTTTTATTGAACAAAAGTTCGTGGCACTTTTCAGTGATTTCCTTTTACACATAAGTGAAATCTATGTCCATGTTCTGGAATCTTATATTTCAACGCATTTGAGTATTTAATTTGCGTGTTTATTGTGAATCTTAAATCTTTATACACGAAAAGAGAAATAAGTGGAAAATTCAAGGTTTGAGAAAAAGGAAGGAAAAGTTTATGTTGTATATAGTAATTTTCCAAGAGTGGCTTAGATGTGGCACAAGGCCGAAAATAGGCGGGGGCACACAGTGTGGATCGATCTCACTACTCAGTTATAATTGTTCTAGCCAGACAAGCTTGCTAAGCATTATAACGCCTCTTGATGCCCCCGTTAATATTGTATATACGGCGGGATTGAAAGTATATAGTCCTTTACGAACTCTTCCATAAAATCAAGCTTACTCTTGTGAATTGGCTCTATTAAAGCCGGTAATCGATGAAAGCCATCCGTGAATAATCAATCGGAACGATGATGCTTTATATCATGTCAACTATATCATGTTTTATGATGATGTTTTATATCATGTCAACTCACGTTGCTGACCGGGTGTGCGGGTAGTGTAATTGATTGAGAAATTGGCGAGGCGAGTTCGAATTTCACTTGGGTTTGTTACATTTACTTCTGCTCAAATACCCTTGAGCAATTATGATTCCATCATCTGCACCAAGCTGTTGTTTAAACAGTACATCTTATGTTTGGAAAAATAATTGTTATTCTCAAATATGTATTAATACAATATTCATTTGCAAAAAATATGCTTACAATCCAAAATATGTTTCGGCTTTAAATAACCCTTAAATGGTTGGTAAACCGTAAAAAATCTAATTATATAATGTCATCTTAACGACCAACGTGTAATGATTACAGCTAGGCAGTGATGCCCTACTACAGAAGTCGTACTCATCTGAAATTGAACTTTCGGCTTAACCCTTATTTCAGTCCCTAAAGAACTTCCTATTCTCTGGAAGCCTGTAAAATAACTTAGATTCCTTACACAGAATATTACACATTTCTGGGATGATGAAATAATGACAATCCCTCAATGATGAAAATTATTGTGACACAATGAAACATATATGATTGAATAAATCTATGTACTAATATTTGTGTTTTGTCTTTTGAATTCATTTAAAAAATTTATGAACTTTTATTGCATCCCAATTTACTATAGTAAGATACTATTAAATAGGTCCTTTCATATAATTTCTCATTGAATGTAATGATTATGCAGTTTGATGTACGCTTAGTATAGTGGTCATTCATCTGGAACGTGGAATTCTGGCGTGGAGTCTCTTGCTTTCGCTTTCTTAATAAAAACCAAAAGTAAAATAATGAAACCATTTATTACCTGCAACATGTTATAGATTAAATAACAATGCAGACTGGACTCTGTTTCTGGTTAGCTAACAATTTAGGAAAATGACAATGCTGAATTCAAACCAGTTCGGAAACTGGGCTGCTAAATGGATTCTATAAAGCACTAAATGCTACAGAAACTACCACAGCAATATCTAGCGCATTGGGCTCTTGGAGGAATAGGAAAATTATACAATAAAAATTAATGGATACAAAATAGTCTCTGGAAACATAAATCGTTATATAGGCGTATTTTCGTCGTAGATATCAATCTTAATTTTCACTTCAAAACCAAGATATTAATGTTTGATTCAAAGTAAAGATTATATTTTATGTATGGTGCCGCATTTACACAATCCTCTTTTATTTAATGGGCGCAAATTCCGCTGGCAAACTAATCTTCACGTTTAAATATTCAATCTATTCTTTAAAAATAGGGCCCTGAAATGTTTTGCATTTTTGTGCTTAATAACAAAAAATAAAATATCTCTAACAAGTAATGCTAGTAATAAAACGACAATATTTATTTAATTTCTCTTAAACATTATATAGTTTAAGGGCGATTTTCCTCTGATCTCTAGGATATAACGCCCTATATTATTTACCTACAGATAATTAAGATATTTAAGTACAGATTAATTTGCCTTTTGAAAATAATCGAGTATGCAAATGTAATCCACAATTTTCCATGGACATTTTACAACAGTGTAAAACATCCTATTTGTTTCCTTTGTTTATAAATATCATGTAGCCAAAATACGAACGTCCTTCAAGAACATCAGAGTAGCAGCCAAGTAAACACTTAATATATTTTATGTAAATGTCTTATCAAATAACCTTGCACTTTCGATTGATACTCAATTGACAACGACATTTCTCATTCTAATTTTTCTCAATTATTTAAATTTCGAAGATATATTTATGAAATAGAACTTATTATTTTAATCATTTCACCCTAAGCAAGGCAATAAAGCCACTACGATGTAATGGATTACTGAGAATGAAACAAACTGAGATGACTTTGAGTAGAAAGATGACATTAAATGATCAGGATTCACGCCGAGAGAAGCTGACGATTGACTATGCGTTAATGGGCGCAAATGCCGCTGGCAAAATAATCTTCTTCACATTTAAATATTTAATATATTCTTTAAAAATAGGGCTGTGAAATGTTTTGTACTGCTTAATAATAAAAAATAAAAATATCTGTAACAAGTAATGCTAGTAATAAAACGACAATATTTATTTAAATTTTTAAAGATCATTTAAGACAATATTGGGGGAAAAATTCAGAATACGTCTGATACGCAGTGGAATTTAAGTTGCTTTGTACAAAAATCTAGACACAAGATTAATTTATATTGGCACAAGATCAAAACAATGAAGCAAGGAAATTTCTTTCATAGTCAATGATAAAAATGATAAAAGACAAAGAAGAATCTGTAACGTTATTGGCGCTGACCTGGACTCGCGGTTTCAGTCACTTTCCCACTTTTTACTGAAGCTTCTTGGGCCTTTTTATGGACATATTTCCATGATAATTTTTCTGATAAATTCCTCTGTATGCCATCTATACTTTATAAAGTTAAGCGCAGTACTTGATTGGCAGAAAGGTCTCATCATTTTACGGTTGAAAAGGCTAGGGGTAACTATGTTCTATACTAAGAGTTTATTCAATCTTAATTCGCGCTTGTCGAAGTCTCTTGTGTCTTCTTACTTCTCAGTCAAATTTAATCTTAAAAAATTTAAATACAATGTCGATGGTTATCTCCAGTATTTTTAATTCTTTTTTCTCTCTCTTTAATAATGTATTTTTCACATATTCGCCCATATTCTGTAACCCCTGCGTCTTAGTGACTTTATTGTCTTGCTCGATGTGAAAGGTTTTAAAAAACGGTCCTAGTC